ATGGGAAGTGAGAAAGGGAAGAGAAAGGAGCCCATAAAGTAAACATTATTAAGCAAGATTCCACAGCAGGCAAAAAGAGCTTAGTCCTGCTGGGGACCTCCAGGGAACAACATAAAACATACTCTAGAGTTAACCCACGCAAAGGGCAAATGAGTTGCTGCGTTCATACACAATCCCTAAGAATCATGGTTGAGGGCTACTCCCAGAAAGCATTAGCTCCTTAACCCTTCCAGCCTGCCACAACCAAAGCTAGAGAAGTCCCTGAGGAAGTTGCTGGCTATGGAAAGACGTGCCAGAATGCATCAAAATGGTAAGTGCCAAAGCAATATGGGTGACATGCAGACAGCATCTGCTACATTTCTAAATTTCTGTTTCTGGTTCAGATCGCTCTATTTTACCCCAGATCCATGCAACCAACTGCCTACTCGGACCTCTTCTGTCAGACTCCAGGGCCCTCCCACTCCCACCCTCATCTGTTTTCTCACTGATCGCAGAGCCTGACACCACCATCCTCACAACCCCAAATCAGACACCTGCCATTCACTTGTGATTTGCTAATTGATTGCCAACCTCCTAACACCTCTTTTAGCTTCTACCTTCCATCCCACTGTGTTAGTTCAGGTCTTAATATTTTTTGCCTGAGCTATTGCAATAATCTCCTAATCAGCACTTCTCTTTCTATTCTATTCACACTTCCACACCACGTAATCGTCTTGCTCTAAATCCTCCAAAATCCTTTTAAGGGTCTCTCAATTACCTCAAGTCAAGATTCTAAGTCTTTAGGTGAATACAAGCATCTGGTCTCTCTTCATCTCCAGCTTCTCTTTCTTAAGTCTTCTAAACACATTCTGTATACCTACCCGCACACGTGTTCATAGTTCTCCATACATGACAGAGCCTAGACTTTGCATATGTGTTTCCTTCTGCCATGCTTCATTTTGCCTTCAACTCCAACTTGTGTCAAACATCACTTTTTTTGCCATTTTGTTCCAGATCTCCAAGGAGACAGATAGCTCTTAGGCTGTGTTTCTGCAGTGCTAACAATTCCTGAGCAATCATCACATATCTAATGGGTTTATGGTAAACATATTCATATGAATAGTGTGGGTTCTTTACATGAAGATCAGAACATTCCAGAAATGATGCAAAAAGATGAAGACCTGATGGATAAGCATATAATCATTCATAACGATGCTCAACACCAGACATAAAGACCAACGATCCTGTTTTAAGCGGTCTGTTTCTCACTCAAGGGATCTGAGTTATGACCAGACTCGGCTCTGGGAATCTACCATGATGGTGTGAGTAAGACTTTTTTACCAGATCTAGATTATATCATCAACATTGTTATTATTATGCAGATCAAAAGGTACCTCAGTGGATTGTCCAGCCACATATGTCAAAGATCAATTTACCATTAACAAAGATAATCTAATCTGATTAAAACTCCTACCCATCAGCCTTTTAAGGTTACTGGGCTGCTCCTCACCCTCTGCCACTCCAAGATCTCAGCATCTCTATGAAGACTAAACATTTTGTTTCAAAGGTAACATCTACCTCCATCTGTAGGCTACAGAGGACAGCCACCAGGGCACTTTTCAAAAGAGCGGATGCCACGTTCCCAACGTATTCCTCAGTGCTATGACAAAGGGAGTGTCCTCTGGGCCTTTACAGAAAAAAATAGTTACGGGGAGGGAGAGCAGTTCACACATGATAAATCCATTTCTACATCTCAATGATTTATTACATTTCTTTTCTTTCTCTCTCTAATACTAAGAAATGACTGATCTCTCTGCTTCATTTAATGTGTGCCACTGTTGAATCCAGGTTTTAATCAACAAACTGAGCAAACTATTAGGAACACTTCCAGCCACTCAAACCAGCACATTTAATCCAAAATCTCTGGTAAGAGAACCCATATCCAAAACATTCACCCCAGTCTAAAATTATACAGCTCATTCCCTGGGCTAGTGCCTCCAGAATCCATTACCACATATAATCTCCCAAATCTTTTGTTGCATAAGTTGGCAAAACCATTTTTGCAATTTTATTATCACAGATTTGACTTTACAATGGGTTCCCTGGTATATGCCAGAATGTGTCTCTAATTGCCTAGAGGCAATGAGGCAAACTGACACCCCCTGGCAAGACAACTATTTCTGGTGAAGTCATCACAGTGTCTTCTGTGCAAGGCAGGAATAGCTGTGTCTCACAGGGGTTGCTTCTGCTAACAAGAAAAACTTAGTGGAATTTGGGAGTTCAATATTCTTAAAAATTTAAATCTTACCGAAAGTTACTATTTCTATTCTCAATGTTTCTCTCTTTTTTTATATATATTTTTAATTTAATTTAATTTTTGAAACAAGGTCTTACTCTGTCACTCAGGCTGGAATGCAGTGGTACAATTGTAGCTTACCGCAGCCTCACATTTCTGAACTCAAGTGATCCTCCGGCTTCATCTCAGCCTCCTGAGTGGCTAGGACTGTGGCTCATGCCACCATGCCCAGCTAATTTTTATTGTTGTTGTTTGTAGAAACAGGATCTTGCAGTGTTGCCCAGGCTGATTTCGAAACTCCTGAATCACTTGGAGGAGGCGCAAGTGATCCATCTGCCTCACCCTCCCAAAATACTGGGATTACAGGCTGTGTCTGGCCCATTTTATTTTATTTTTAGAGACAATTTCTCACTCTGTCACTCACACTGGAATGCAGTGACATGATCATAGCCCACAGCAACCTCAAACTCCTGGGCTCAAGCAATGCTCCTGCTTTAGCCTCCTAAGTAGCTAGTACTATAGGTGCATACCATCACCCTTATCTATTTTATTTTCAATTGTTTTTGTATGGAGAGGGTCTCACTATGTTGTTCTATCTGGTCTTGAACTCCTGGCATCACGTGATCCTCCTGCCTTGACTTCCCAAAGTGCTGAGGTTATAGGTGTGAGCCACTACTCTTAGCCTATCAGGGTTCTTTTGTTTTGCAATCAATATTCTCGTGTACATATAAGAGATCCAGCAAAGTTATGAATTTACCCTCAATGCAAGTAAGCGGTTTGCAGGATCTGAACTGTGTCTGATTTTCCACCATGCCAGAAAAGGAAAGGGATCCCTTTAGATCAGTCACAGAAACTTCCCAGTCTATAAGCCATTGGGCACAGCTAGAAAGAGCCAGCCTAACCTGCAGGGCACCGTCCATACCCAGAGTGACTATCCCAGTTTCCTCGGCACCATCCTATTATGCCTGCTGAGAATTAACAACACCTGCTTTCTCTTTCAAAACTGTCCTAGTTTGAACAATATGTTATGTTTACCCTTTACATACCTGTGACCTAGCAAACAGCCACTTATAACACCAGTGGATGCTCAAGGGAACCACAATAAAAATCTGTTTTATTACCGAATATCATTATCTAAGGCTGACAGTTTCCACTGGTTTAAAGCCAAATGGAGTCAGATAATCAATCACAGATTCTCATTTTCTTGAGTCTATTTCCTGAAATCCTCTTGGTTCTAACAACTACATAAATCAGGACTCTTTGTTGCAGACTACAGAATCAACTCTGTATTAAAACCGAAAGAAATTTCCTATAAAGTATGGGATCTTACAGAATTCTGAGAGGGCCAGAACCAAACCTACATTCATAGCGAAGAAAATTGCAGCCAGAATAAATGCCCAACATCAGGCTGTCCCATGAGAAAACCCACTGTCATTATCATCTACTGCTTGCCACCTAGGATGGGACTAGACAGCAGACCCATTGTGACAGCTGCCCAGAAGATTCTCTTGCTCTGTGTGTGACCCTTAAACCTTGCACATTGTTCTCATCTGCATTCTAAGTTTTGTGTAGGAGTATCTTCTTAGTATAACCTAGGTGCTGTATCGAACCCCAGCTGGGAAAATGCAATGTCATCTTTTATATTTAAGATCTCGGCTGGGCACAGTGGCTCAAGCCTGTAATCCCAGCACTTTGGGAGGCCGAGGCGGGTGGATCACGAGGTCAAGAGATCGAGACCATCCTGGTCAGCATGGTGAAACCCCGTCTCTACTAAAAATACAAAAAATTAGCTGGGCATGGTGGCTCGTGCCTGTAATCCCAGCTACTGAGGAGGCTGAGGCAGGAGAATTTCCTGAACCCAGGAGGCGGAGGTTGCGGTGAGCCGAGATCGCGCCATTGCACTCCAGCCTGGGTAACAAGAGCAAAACTCCGTCTCAAAAAAAAAAAAAAGATCTCTTTAAGACAGAAGGCATATTATTAGAGACGCTTTGGTGCAGATGAGGATTGAATCAATCTTCAGTATCTGCCAAGGGCTGAAAAGGATGATGAGGAATGCATATGAAAGAATGTGCATGGCAAGAATATCAATGGTGGCTCCAGAATTCCTATTAAGGAAACATTTAAAGGACACTATCTTATTGGAAGGAAGGTCAGGGGATGTATCTCGAAGCTGTGTTTGCATAGCAAGCACATTGTTATTGCTTAGCTCTATTGTTTCTTTCAAGTGGACCTATGACAGCTCATGAAGGTCTAAATCAGACAAATGACACAACCCTGGCACCTTGACCAGATGGAAAGGTAAAATATGGCCAAGACTGTTACTCCTACTTCACAGATGGAGCTGTGCTGCTTCTGAATAGCAAAATAAAGGACAAGCAGGTCCTTAAATAACGTGCTGTGCTACATGGACTGGAGTCCTCTATTTCATATTTCTATGAAAAAGAGTATTCGTTAAAACAAAATTGGGACATAATATCTAGAAATGCATATTACGTTACAAAATAGTTGAAATTATGAACTTCCAGGTAACCTTGGATTTATTGTTTCTATAATTATCACATTCAAACTGGCAAAGGCAAGGAGGACCAAGTGTATTTTCCCTTCTCTGTGTTGCCAATCATTCTTTTTCTTTCTTCTTTCTTTCTTGTCTTTCTTTCTTGTCTTTCTTTCTTTCTTGTCTTTCTTCCTTTCCTTCATTTTTCTTTCTTTCTCTTTCTTTCTTCTATTTCCCTACTTGAAATACTCCTTTGCTTTTGGGGTACTTTGAGGCAACTAACAGCCATATTTGTCTCTGTGGGACCCCTGAGATGCCTTTTTCATTGGCCAAGTCTACCTAAGTAGGCCAGAGTATGGCTCAAAAACAATTCATTATGTATTTCCTTTTTATTTTTGTTTGTTTGTTTCTGTAATCAAGACATTTGGTGAAAATCTTTAATTCACAAGTCAAATAGCACAGAACAGAAACAATTTTCGGAGCCCACTGTGGATGTGGTAGGGGGCAGCCTGTGCTGCTAAGTATATGTTTTGCTGAGCTGCTGGCTTCTCAATTCGTAGCATTCAGCCTCCTGGCTCCTCAGCAGTTCCTTCTCTTTGGTGGTGTCTCGAGCTTTCAGCTTTGGGAAGTGGGCAGGAGAGGCAATGAGATCATAGTGCCGGTCAAGATACCGTAGGTAGATGAGCATGTTCAGGGCATAGGCTAACACCAGCAGCAGGATCAGGGACATTGCCAGGCCGATCAGAATAGCAGGTGAGGAGGAGGAGGCGCAGTCTCGGGCCTTGGTAAATCGTCCCCCCTTAATGGCAAAACCTTGGATCTGCAGGAGAAAGGAAGGAGCTGAAGTGATACATTCCTTGTCTCCTAGGATCTACCTCCCAGTTGGGCTGGCAGTTTTGGCCCCCAGGTAGCCAAATTTAATATACTGTCACTATATTTGCTGAATCATTTAACCACATGATTTGACAAATGTGATTGTGCTGATGGGGACGGTGCAACTTAACCTTAAATCAGGACTGACCCAGAAATTCTGGGATGTAGAGTCATCATAACTAGGAGGCTCATGAAATTCAAGACTCTGAAATAAAACCTTGATTTCAAGACTCTGAAATAAAACCTCTTTTAATCTGATCCTTAGAAATATTCCAGTTCATGTAAAAACCGCAACTGCTGTGGTATCTCTACAATTCAAAGCACATTCAAAATTTTATATGGTTAGTATAAGTTTCACAAAGATTTTAAGTCTCCATTCCTCTGCCTTTGATTCTATTGACTGACAGGAATTAGGAAGAGTCTTTGAAGGGGGGATGTCATGATCCTCAATAAGGGAAAACATAAATAATAATCACAAAAGCTAATATTTATTGAAGGTTTTTGTGTACCATATACTGCCTTAATTTGTTTAGTATGCAAAGAGCCTATGAGTAAGTTACTATTTTATTCCTAATTTATGGATGGGGAAACCGAGGCATGGAAAAATTAAGTAACTTGCCCAGAGTCACACAACAGTAAATACTGTGATGGTATAGTTGAAACCCGAGCAGTGTGCGTCAGACTCATACTCCACAGCTCCTTGTGGGTTCTGTCTCTGCCTCCTCCCTACCCTCTCTCTCTTTATTGATTTTATCACACAGACTCTGTCCCACTTCTGGACGAGGTGGATACCAGCTCCTCCTTGCACCCTACCCATTACTTTTAATGGCAAAAACTGCAATCACTTTTGCACCAATCAAATAGAAAGGAAAGCTTTCCATTGTGGGCAGACGAAATGGTATAATTACCTGGAAGGAAGAGAGGTTCAAATAGAGAACTGGCACTGATATCTAACTGGCACTGTCAAAATGAAACAGGACTACAGAGAAATTACTTTAAAATGTGGAAGACAGCCCCCTGTTTAGCTGGCTTTAAAAGTATGACCTACACAGCATTGCCTCATTCAGACACCTACTCGGTTTTCAAAGAGTACATTCAGAAAACTGAACTATCCATGAGTGCTTTACTGAAAATTCACTTTGATGGCTTAAGTGAGCACTTTAGCATTGTCCCGTGCTAAAATTATCGAGGCCACCCATCACTGCATAGACACAAGGGGACTAGCTCACCCAACTGTCTCTGCTCACCATTGAACCCAAAGCAGCTTCTGAAGGAGACTCATCTTGGCTTTGGGGATCCCTGCCCGGCCCCTCCTGTGAAGAGGCAGAGTGACCTTCTCTTCAGACTGGAGCCTGAAGAGTCGAGCTCCTCCATGACAAAAGAGGACCTCACTTGATTCTGTAACTTCAGCCCAGAATGTCCTCAGGTTGACTGCACATAAGTCTTTTTTTTTTTTTTCTTGAGACGGAGTTTTGCTCTTATCGCCCAGGCTGGAGTGCAATGGCATGATTTTGGCTCACTGCAACCTCGATCTCCCAGGTTCAAGCAATTCTCCTGCCTCAGCCTCCGACATAGCTGGGATTAAAGGTGCTCGCCATCATGCCCACCTAATTTTTTGTATTTTCAGTAGAGATGGGGTTTTTGCCATTTAACCAGGCTCGTCTTGAACTCCTGACTTCAGGTGATCCATTTGTCTTGGCCTCCCAAAGTGCTGGGATTACAGGCATGAGCGACCACACCCAGCCACTTAATTCTTAACAAGACTTGGTTGAGAACAGTACATGTGGAGAATGCCTGAAGGATATATTGCCCAACCATTTCCTGGACTAGAGGTTATACAGACAGGCTGTTTCTAGCCCACAGGTGAGTTTTGTTTGACCCAGTGCTCAGAATATCCTGAAAATTTCCTGTGAGAATCAACCATTCTAGCTTCTATTGAAAAGATCCAGCAACACCAGCCCTGCATTCCTACAAAGTAAAAATCAGCTGCAGTTGAATTTGTAAAATGCTCATTGTGATGAAGGCTACCCTTTGCCACAGTCCCAGCCACTTCACCAGTTGCCCAAGGTACTTGAGTTTGCCGCACAGGCCATATCGCTCTACACTCTATTCCCACCATAAGCCAAGCCAGCAAAGCTGCACATGTGGACAGCAGCCCTTTGTACACATACCTCAGCCACCATCACCTCCACCTCCTCTCCCCTGGACTCAGCTTGCATTCTGCCATTTCTGCACACAAAAGGGGTTTCAACAGGGCCCACCTGTCCCCCTGAAACTGCATTTGTGGTAAGAATGCTGATGAGAATGTATACATCTCACAACACCATGGATGAATGTGTTCATCCTAAGCACATTCACTGTAGTCTTAGGGACCACGTGAAATTGTAACTGAGTGTTTCACATACTAACTGCTCCAGAACATCAAAGCCAAATTACTGTGCCACATCATACTAGTGCAGACAGATGGTCTAGTGGTTTTGTGCCCTAACCTCATTGGTGACTCTAACTGACTTTTCTTCCTTTGTGTTTCCTCACCCCCATGTCTTTGCTAAATTTTTTATTTTAACTTTTTGTTACAAAATATCGAGAGAGCTGGGTGCAGGGGCTCATGCCTGCCATCCTAGCACTTTGGGAGGCCAAGGCAGGTGGATCACCTGAGGTCAGGAGTTTGAGACCAGCCTGGTCAACATGGAGAAACCCTGTCTCTACTAAAAATACAAAAACTTAGGCATGGTGGTGGGTGCCTGTAATCTCAGCTATTCAGGAGGCTGGAGCAGGAGAATCACTTGAACCTGGGAAGAGGAGGTTGCAGTGAGCTGAAATTGTGCCATTGCACTCCAGCCTGGGCAACAAGAGCAAAACTCTGTCTCCAAAAAGTATATATTTATATATGTATATATATAACATAAAATTCACCATTAAACTGTGTTAAGTGTATACAGTGCAGTGCTATTAAGCACATCCACATTGTTGTGTGACCATAGCCACCATCTATCTCTAGAACTCTTTCACGTCTTGCAATACTGAAATCCTGCACCCATTAAACATTAACTGCACATTCCCTCCACCCTTCAGTCCCTGACCACTACTATTCTACTTTCTACCTCAGGGCTTGACCACTGTTAAGTATCTCATATAAATGAAATCATGCAACATTTGTCCTTGTGTTATTCCACTTAGCATTATGACTTCAACGTTCATTCATGCTGTAGCATGTATCCAAAGTTCCTTCCTCTTTTAAAATTTATTTGTTTATTTATTTATTTGAGACATCTGTCACCCAGGCTGGAGTGCAGTGGTACAATCTTGGCTCACTGCAGCCTCAATCTCCTGCGCTCAAGCAATCTTCCAACCTCAGCCTCCCAAGTAGCTGAGACTACAGGTGACACCGGTATGCCCCAGCTAATTTTTTTTTTAATTGTTAGCAGAGATGGGGGTGTCACTATGTTGCCTAGGCTGGTCTCAAACTCCTGGGCTCAAGAGTGATTCTCCTGCCTCAGCTTTAATCCTGCTGGGATTAAAGACATGAGCCACCATGCCGAGCCTCTAAATTTTCTTCATTTTAATGCTGAATAATATTCCATTGTACATATACCCTAGGTTTTGTTGATCCATTCATCTATTGATAGACATTTGGGTTGCTTGCACCTTGTAGTTGCTGTGAATAATGCTGCTATGAACATAAGTATAAACATCGGTGAAAGCTTTTCAAGTCCCTGCTTTCAATTATCTGGGGTATATACCCAGAAGTAGCACTGCTGGAGCCCTTCGTAATTGTATGTTTAACTTCTTGAGGTAACTCCATGCTGTTTGCCGCAGCATCGACACCATTTCACATTCCCAACAGCAATGCACAAGGGTCCCAGCTTCCCCACATCCTTGCCAACACTTGTTATTTTCTATTTGTTTGTTGTTATCATTATAGCCATCCTAATGGATGTGAAGTGATTTGTTCATATTTTAAAGTAATTTTTCATAAGTAGTATTTCTATAAGTCACTTAAGTCATTTCTAGAACAAGGTAGAGGTATAAATCAATCAATTCCCCTCGTCTAATCAGGCAAAATTATTTGTAAAATATTCCTTGCTGTCCTTATCTCCTCACTGCCATTTCTGTATATGTATATATACACGCACGCATATACACAGAGAGAGACATACACCTACTCAGGAACCCTTGGAACCAAACTGTCCAGAATTTGAGCTCTACCTCTACCATTTACCAGTCACATTCCTTAGAAAGATTATGTGATTTTCAGAGATTCAGTTACCTCATTTGTAAAACGATCTTGCAGCATTAAGGTAAGTTCTGAAGACAAAGTACATAAAATAACAATAGCAGCACCAACACACACAGGTGCTCACAGGTAGCAATTATTGTTAGTCCAAGCCTGCACACTCCTGTTTCCACATGTATTAGGCCATGTATTCTTTACATTAATAAAGATAGGTGAGAAAATGAGAGAGATTAAGTAACTTGCCCTCGTGGCTGAGGAGTAATTTGAAACCGGGTCTGCCTGACTCCAAAATGCAGGCTTCTTTCCTACCCCAAACTGCCTCTCATCAACACCACACTTCTCCAAGTTCGGGAAGGATGGAAGGGAAGAATACACATATATGTGGAATGGCCATATATATCTGGAAAAGGTTGGAATGTGCTCATGAAAGATACATGCAAAGCCCTGCCTACTATTTTGGTGAGTGGTAGGAACAAGCTAAGCTTCATTCACAGGTAAACAGGATGGAGGAACTTGACAGATGTCTCTCAACCTGAGATTCTGGTGGTGAAAAGGAATCTCTTACACCCCATTCCTTTCCCCAAATACCTTCAAGATCTTTGGGATATTTTTGACTCCCTGGCTGAGTCCCTTCCTACTAACTGCCAAAGCTGTCACTCACACTGCAAATGTACATCTTATCTTCCCTGATAGGATCACTGCACCACTCCCTAAAGGAAATAAAATAATTGTCCGACAATGCCTCTCCCCAGAAGGGCCTCTCAGTCCAGGAAATGTCAGTCACTGGCTTCACCCGCAGCTTCACTAGGACTTAGATGGCTGGCATTTCTCACTGATAATTATTCGTGCTGGATAAACCTGAAAGTAAAAGCAAGCCCTGGGTAGGAGGTGGGAGCCATAAGGAGAGAAAATTCTCTATCCTATTTCATTTCTTACCTTAAAAAACAAAGGGAGAGAAAAATATTCTTTTAAAGATATCTACTTCTCCGTAAGCATCTAAATTTGTTTCAGGTGTTTTAAACAAACATTAAGTTCCTTTGGTCAAAAACGCAGGTGCATTGAGCACAGGTTTTATTACCTGGAAATCAATAAAAGTGACCTCCCACAGGCTCGACCCGTCATCCGTGTCGCCGGGCAGCAAGAGGACATGGTCCCGCTGCAGGCTGCCCACGCGTTGGCAGCGGTAGGAGTAACCGGATGGAGCATATATGCCAGCTGGGTTAAAGACTGCTTGGATTGAATTGTTGGAAACGATCTCGACTTGGCGCAAACTAAACCAACTCTGGATGGACAACTTGTTGTAATTGGTAAGGATGAATCTGAAAATGGTTATAAAACAGCATTACTCGCAAAGCACTTTTCCCACATTTGCTGACGCAAGGTATCGTCTATGAACAGTACAATGGCGCCCTCTTTTGTCAGGCGGCAGAATGGGCTTGGGGAGAGGCTTCACTTTTGCAGCAGCCTCCTCTGGATGGATGGATGGCTGGGTAAGAGCCAATGACCCCGCCCCCAAAGGGGACAGCACACATTCCTACCAAAGAAAAAACACACAGGGTTTGGGTTTATTTGGTTTTGTTTTTCCTTTTTTTAAATAAACACTTGATTATGTTTATTATTGAAAAATTTTGAGAAAAATGGGCATCCATGAAGAATTTGCTAAACTGTGGTTTAAAATAATAGCAACAGCTCTCTTAATAGCTTCAGTGTTGTGTATGTGTATTCTATTTAATTGTCACTACAACACCATGCGATAGATAATGTCCTCGTCCTAACTTCACAGCCGAGGATTTAAGACACAAAGGGCTTGAATAAGTTCACTTGGAGAGTAAGTGTCAGAGCTGGCCTTCCAATCCAATCTTAACTATTTTGGAATGGACTGTCTCCAGCCATGAAAAAGTCATAATTTACTTGTCACTATCATTTTTACTTCAGTTTTTTTAAAAAAAAAAAAAAATGCGACTGCATAGAAAAAAATGTCTGGAAGGATAGAGATTAGAACATTAGTGATTGCAAATGGTGTTTATAGATTATTGATGATTTTCATTTTCTTCTTTCTGTAGCTCAATATCTTCTCATTTTTCTGTTTTCATTAGTTTTTCTTGTCTCTGTTTGGCTCCTTTGCAAGCAGACTGTGAGACAAGGGTGTGAATATAAGAAATATTTGGAGGCATTTAGCCATTCAAAATATGTAAAATGGAGAGAAAAGAAATGACAGAGGAAGGGAAGGCAGCTAAAAGAGGCACGTTATTAAGCAAGTTTCCAACGTGGACAAGCAGGGCTTCGTGGCCGTGATGAAACCTGGGCGCCAGAGTAGAGCACATGCTGCTGAGTTACCTCACCGGAGGGGGAGGGAGGGAGCTGAGGTGTGTGTATGTTTCCTTCAGCCACTGGTTGCAGCAGGCTGCTGGGCTAGGGACTGGGGGCAATGGGCCAGAGAAAGTTTTTAGGCAAAGAGAGGCTGGGAGGTAAAAGTTCAGCAGGTAGGCTACAGTTCTCTCAAATGGAAAGGGCCACATAGGTATTAATGGGGTATTGCTACATATCTTATTATCAGACTAAATAATAATAATAAAGCTATTTTTCATTTTGGAAAAAAGTGCAATTCCAGATCAAAAATATTCTCCATTTCTAGATAAAACAGATATGTGTGTTTGGTCACCTTGTGGGATTCTATTTACTTGCAAAGTTGCTCTGAAAGATGATGGCATAGATTTTCTAAATTATGATCAGTGAAACACTAGTGTCCCATGATATGTAGACAAGTGTTTTGAGGAAGGCTTTCCAAAGTTAAACACGGGAAGCACTGAGTTAGTCAAAGTTACAAAGTACAATAGTCTTCTAGATTATGTCTTCTCAGAAACTTTAACATACAAATTTACACTGTGAATTGCCAACGAGCAGACACAGGTTATAGTCATTCCCAGTCACATTTGACCACAGAACCCCCTTTTTGTAAAATCTTATATTTTCCCAAAGCAGACGTGTCCCATAGAGCAAAGATTAAGAAAGACTGACTAACACAGTCCTGCTGGTTTTCCAAATAATGTTAAAGACAACTACTTACCTCCACTAACGAGTCTGTCCGTTTGTCTTATAGGAAGGGAAGCACTGGATATTTATACAAAAAAAAAAAAAAAAATTAATGCCTTCAAATTGTTCCCTCTACCTCAGGAGCAGTTCCTAACTGCTTGGCTAAAGCCAATGTTGGCAGATGAATTCTTCCATACCTAAACACCAAAAAACTGTAGGCCTCTGTTGATTGTCTGCTGGGGAATACAAGTAACGAGGCTTTTTCATTGTAGTTAAATGGTAAGCGCGGTTCATTATAAGAAGCTATAGAAAATAATTTCAAACCAGAGCCCCAGCCCTGAGAGCTTTATTTATATGTCATACTTTTCTCAGAGGAAAAGGATATTACATTCTCAGGTTTGGGAATTAGCTCTAAGTCCCTAATGTAGGCGGTACGGGGGTTGGGGAAGAGGGAAGAACTATGGGTATTTTGGTAGAAACTTTTAGAAAGAAAGCATTACTGGAGGGTCCCATCATATCACAGCACCAACTTTTCAGTGTAATTAGGTTGACGTGGCATGTGATGTGTCACAGTGCTTGGGCATATAGCAAGCCCTTGCTTCACGCATGTGGAATGAACAAATTCTATAGAGCTAATCTGAAGGGCTGAAACTGCAATTATTCAAACTGGTGTCCTGCCTACCTTATAGCAAGACTTCTGGGGTTTTCAGCATCACCAAGCTTCAAAGACAACCTAAGGAAAACAAAAAACAACATAGCCTATGAAAATAAGAATGATCCTAACTTCATATCTACTCAAAATTTACCTCAAGGTAGATCACATAACACCTAAAACCATAAAATGCATAGAAGAACATTTTTTAATGGTTTCCTGAAAAAAATACAAATGCATAAACAATAAAAGAAACAACTGATAAATTGCATTTTATTAAATCCAAAACTTACGCTCTTCAAAAGAAAACAAGAAGGGCAACCACAGAACAGGAGACAATACTCACAACATGTATACATAAAGAACTTTATCCAGAATACAATAAATAACTCTAACAACTTAGCAAAAAGACAGCCCAACATAAAAATCATAAAAATTGTCAGAAGACTCAAGCATGTTTTAAAGAAAGATATACAAATGGTCGATAAGTACATGAAAAGATGCTCAGGATCATTAGACATTTGGAAAACATAAAATCAAAACACAATAAAGATAACAGTCTACAGGAATCAGAATGGTTAAAACATTTTTTCGGTGACTCTTAAGCTTTTAATACCTATATTTATTCCTATTTTCCTGAGAGTAAACATAAGATTTCCCAGAGCAAAGACTGATGAATTGACTTACTCATGGGAACAACCATATTGGTTCCCCCTTCTAATCCGATTCTAACCTTCTAGGCAGCATGAGAAGAGCCAGATGTCATCCGACACATGCGGGGATTTATATTACAGATGAGGAACACCAAAATTATGAATCTGGTAGTTTACATAGGAGAGAGACAGTGGTTTCCTTCTCACCTCCTAAGAGAGGGAGAGAAACATTCGCCCTCCTAGTGTCAGTAAATTCTCCTTAGGAAGAGAAGAGGGATGATTAGTCTTTGGAGGGAAGAGTTTAGCCTTTGGATGGAAGCAAATAGCTCACCATAAGGGAGACAAATGGCTGCCGGTCTCATACCCATGGTATGTAAATACGGAGGATAAGATAAGCCTCCGGAGTTTCTAAACCCTCAAATGTCTCTGTGACCTTGAGTTTCATTACCACTTGATATATGAACACTTTCCTTTCAAGAGGTAAATCTGTCACTAACTCTAACACTTATCTTTTAACCCAGTTCCCAGTAAAAAAAAATTGTTCAGAAATTCCTAAACATGCAGAAATACAAAAATGCTTTCTCTAGTCTCACTCTGATCATTCAAATTATTAGTGAGAATGTGAAGTAACTGGAACTCTCAAACAGTGCTGGAGAAAAGAAAAAATGATGCAGCCACTTTAAAAAACAGTTTGACTGTTTTCTAAAAGGTAAACATACACATACCATATGATCCAGGCATTCTACTCCTAGTTGGAATGACATCTAAGAGAAATGAAAATACCTGCTGCCACAAAGACTCATACATAAATATTCATAGTGATTTTATTTGGAAACTTATACAAAAAGTGAGGGAAAAACAAATTTCTATCAACAGGTGAATGGATAAGTAAGTTGTAGTACATCTATACAATGGACTACTATTCAGCAATGAAAAGGGAAATGCCATTGACACATGCAGTAACATAGATTATCAAAATCATTAAGCTAAGTGACAGTGGCTACACTGAAAAATAGTGCACACATGTGATGATATTTATATAAAATTCTAGAACATGCAAACTAATTGATATGATAGCAGATCAGTGGTTATCTGGAGATGTGGGAGTGGTTGGAAAGATGGATTACAAAGAAACACACAGAAACTTTGGGGCAGATGAAAATATGTTTTGTTTTTTTGGTTTGGGTTTTGGTTTTTTTGAGACAGGGTCTTGTTCTGCCACCCAGGCTCAGGGGCAGTGGCACAATCTCCATTCACTGCAACCTCCACCTCCAAGGCTCAAACGATCCTCCTACCTCAGCCTCATGAGTAGCTGGGACTATAGGCATGCACCCCCACGCTGGGCTAATTTTTTAATTTTTAGTAAAGACAGGGTTTTGCCATATTGGCCTGGCTGGTCTCTAATTCCTGACCTCAAGTGATCTGCCCACCTTGATCTCCCAAAGTACTGGGATTACAGGTGTGAGCTACTGTGGTTGGCCATGAGGATCTTTTAGGTACCAGGCACTGTGCCACCAATTGGGAATACAAAGGAGAAACACAACCTGGAACAAGAGTTGCTCATAAAGGAGTTCTTTTACTCTTTCAAGCACCCTACTCTCACACATGTAAAATGGATTCTGAATTATTCAGGCTATAATTGCCTAAATTCCAAATATACACAGATGCTGGGATTATGTTCTATTTGCAGGGCTTTCACTATTTAAAAAGACTTCCGTAGCGAATCCATCTGCCAACAATTTGCCTCTCTCTGAACAATTTGTTTCCAAGAGCTAAAACATGGTCATCTTTTTTTAATCTGTGCTTTTGACCTTACATGGTTATGTCTTTGTTTCGGTTTGTTACTTCAGCAACTTCCATTCTGCTCTTAAGATCTTAAGATTTCCTTGCCAGCTCCGCAGGACTGCCTCAATCATCCACGCAATTCACAGGGATCAGACACTAGGTCTCAGCATCTGGTTCTTGACACCTCCTTCCCAGAAGCCTCCTGTTTCTCCTCTTTGGGCAGGCTGTCCAGGATGCCTGCAAACTCACCTATGCAGGACTCCAGCAGGTGAGCGCTGCACACTCAAGGCTCACACCTGAATAGAATTCTAAGGCAGTGACCAAAAAGACAGTCAGGTCCTACCCAATTGTTAATTTGTGTCCTGCAGGACCCAAAGCTTACTGAAGAAATTAGACACCATTTCACTCTAGTTATCACTAGGATGTCAGGAAGGAAAAGAATGCTACTACTATTAATGCTTTGAATAGCACTCAACAAGATCTCAAAATGCTATGCATATATTTCCTCATGTGTTTTTCACAACCTTAAGAATAGGGCCAAGAGGAAGGAGATAAATTGTCATTTTAAAAGACATTTTAAACTCCAACTCTGTTAAACATACATGCTCCATGCATGACCTTAGCAAATTTTCCAACTTCTGTGAGCTTTGATTTCCTGGAACACCAGGAAAAGGGATGAGAACTGCCTGTGCCTCCAAAAGTTACTGTGAGGAATAACAGGTATGGGCCTGTGAAGCCTGGCACAGTGCCTGGTCCATAGTGAGTGCTCAAGGCCTTATAGCTATACTACAGCCGTCCCCAAACTTTTTACACAGGGGGCCAGTTCACTGTCCCTCAGACCGTTGGAGGGCCGCCACATACTGTGTTCCTCTCACTGAACACCAATGAAAGAGGTGCCCCTTCCTGAAGTGCGGTGAGGGGCCCGGATAAATGGCCTCAGGGGGCTGCATGCAGCCCGCGGGCCGTAGTTTGGGGGTGCCTGCTATAATGAATAGATGCCATCAGCTCCATTTGACAGATGATGATCCCACAGGTCCTGCCTGTAAAGTCACAAAGCTCACTGGTAGAACTGGGCCTAGAAGCCAAGTTTTCATTCTTTCTGTCTCTAGGTTCCCAGTAATCACAAGGTCTCTAAAATAAAAAATAAAAATAAAAAAAATTTAAAAAAAAAAAAAAAAAAAGCTGTAGAACTCTGATTTCCCCTCAAAAATGTCCCAGGGTCAGGATAAATGGAATCAGGGAGAGCCAGTCAGCCATAGATGGGCAAGACTATCCCCAAGCAGTCAGCCTCTCTCCGTGCAACTGACCACAAATAAAGAGCCCTGTGGGGAATTAATTAGCACCCCAGGAAAAGATCCTGAGCTCTCAGCGTGCAGGAGCCTCTCTGATAGTCTTGGATAGTTGTGCTATAATAACAGTATAAACAAATCTGAGAGGACTGTAGATGCTTCCACTTATAATTCCCTAAATCCCGACTAAAAGACAGTCATTCAGAACAGCAAGATACTAAGATTTGTAATATGACTTTAAATTGTATATTAATAGAATTCATTTTTGCCCACTGCCAAGAATTTTTAAGTGAGAAGTTTAGAAATAAAGGATGTTTCTAGCCAAAGTACATAAAGTACACACATAAAGTACACACACACACACACACACACACACACACAGAGTTATGCTTTATATAAAGCATCCTACCCATCTAAACCAGACCAGAACAAATGCAGAAAATCTTCCAAAAGCATCTATTTTACCAACAAATGTTGAAAACAAAGTTTACAGAAAGCAAGTGGGACATGCCAGATTTCCTCTCCCTGGACCAAAATAAATAAAAGCAAAAATTTTTGCTTGGATGACTGAAAAGCAGAGAAAGGCATTGAAAATTGATTTGCCCTGCAAACATGTTATTTGTTTAATCTGCTTATCTCAAATCAAACCTAATTATTCCAATCATTTTGAAATATCCTAAAGAATTATCTGGAATTTAGCCATGAAAAGTACCCTTACACATTTTCAAACAGGCAATATTCCACTACTTCAGCACACTGACTCCCCTCTGCCCCCTGCAGAGTCAAGCATTTGTCCTGGCTAGTGTGCCACCCACTATGATGCATAGGACCCTACTGGGATATGGGATCTCTTCCCTAGGATAAACGTAGTTTGACACCTAACATTTGGTAAGACCAAGCCTGGAATCTTTTGTAGTTTTCAGAATGAGTCTGAGAACGCTCCCTTTCCTAACTCTCATTTTCTACAAATTATTCTGACAATTAGCAAAAAAGGTTCAGAAGAAAACTGCTTAGAAAATATAACAATTTTTGAACTTCTGACTTGTTCCTTCATGTTAGACAGTAAATACTTCCTCAAAGATGTGTGTCAGGGTCCTACACAACGGAGCCTACTTTTTGTTTTTTCTGAAATGACAAAAAAAAACTGAATGCAGTTAACAAAAGGCAGTAGCACTAAGGGCTTCCCCAAACTGGGAGATCAATTTACCTAGCACTTTCTTCACTGCAATTTGAGTTGTCAGGGTCCACTGTTGCCTTCTGACCAAACGCCTCGCCTGTAAGGTCCAGCCAGGTTTGATTCCTGAATTTAATCGTGATTCTTTTGGCCCAGAAGAGAATGCAAGGCATTCCATCGATGGAGACATAACTGGGCCATGATGGCTGAATGCATTCCAAGGTTCTTTTTCTAAATGCCCTTCTTTGCTCAGATTGTAGTTGAGAGCCTAATTAACCAAATAAAAAGAATGTTAGACAAGAATTCATGTCTATTGTGCAAAAGGCTTCCTAGAAGTGAAAGAGCTAATTCACATCCTGTAATGGTAAATACATGTCATTATACCTTTATCAAAACCCATAAAATGTACAATACAAAGAAATAAATTTATACCAATTACTCTAGTGTAAATACAGATAAAAGTTGGTTAATAGAGAGAAGCAACTCGAGCTTATCAGTAACCAAAGATTATTATTATAGCAACAAAAATGAAGCTGAATATTGTAATAAAAATATAAGAGAGCAAATGAAATTAAGCATTTTGGGTTTTTCTCAACCATAAGATTCCATAATAAACAGAAAACCAAATACCACATATTCTCACTTATAAGTGGGAGCTAACCATTGAGTACACATGGACATAAATATGCAAACCTTCGACACTCGACCCCTGGAGGGTGGAGGGAGTGGATAGGTTACAAAACTGCCTATCGGGTACTATGCTCACCATCAGGGTGATGGGATTCATACCCCAAAGCCCCGCATGCACTATTTCCACATAACTAATCTGCACAAGGACCCCCTGTATCCAAAATAAAAATTGACTTTTAAAAAGAAAAGATTCCAGGCCAGGCATGGTGGGATTACAGGCTGAGATCATGCCTGTAATCCCAGCACTTTGGCAGGCCAAGGCGGAAGGATCACCTGAAGTCAGAAGTTCGAGACCATCCTGGCAAACATGGTGAAACCCCATCTATACTAAAAATACCAAAAATTAGCTGGGTGTAGTGGTAGGCGCCTATAATTCCAGCTACTTGGGAAGCTGAAACAAGAGAATCAGAATCACTTGAACCAGGGAGGTGGAGGTTGCAGTGAGCCGAGATTATGCCATTGCACTCCAGCCTGGTCAACACGAGTGAAATTGTTAAGGAAAGAAAGAAAGAGAGAGAGAAAGAAGAAACAAAAGAAAAGAAAAGAAAAGAAAAGAAAAGAAAAGAAAGAAAGGAAGAAAGGAAAGAAAGGAAGGAAGGAAGAAAGGAAAGAAAGAAGGAAAGAAAAGAAAAAGGAAAGAAGGAAAGAAAGAAAGAGATTCCGTAATATATTTCCCCATCCAAATTTCAAGGAAGAATATGTTAATTATTGATAGAATTATTATTTATATTTTCATAGAAGCACAGACAGGATTGAAATATGTTTTCAAGGCTGAGCTTGGTGGCTCATGCCTGTAATCTCGGCACTTTGAGAGGCCAAGGCGGGTGGATCACAAGGTCAGAAGTTCAAGACCAGCCTGACCAAGATGGTGAAACTCCATCTCTACTAAAAAAAAAAAAAAATAGCTGGGTGTGGTGGTGCACGCCTGTAGGCCCAGCTACTTGGGAGGCTGAGGCAGGAGAATCGCTTGAACCCGGAAGGCAGAGGTTGCAGTGAGATGAGATGACGCCACTGCACTCCAGCCTGGTGACAGAGGGAGACTCCGTCTCAAAAAAAAAAAGAAAAGAAATATGTTTTTAAGTTTTTAAGAGATAGATTACAATCTGGTTTCCTGACATAGCCATACCTGTGTGATTGGTATTGTTGTGAAATTCTGGACTGGTTTCATATCTCCATTATTCTGATCTGTCAAATAAATAATGATGTGGTTACCAATGCTAGATGACCTTTATATAATGGAATTGAGTGACAGTAATATGCTAAGCACTGTCACATATATCAAGCTTGAGCCCCTTTGGCTCATAATTTAGAATACACTAGTATAAAAGATTTCACATTAGTGCCTCCTGATACAGACACCATTGGTCAGGGAATTCTATCACAGGAAAAGTCCTTCCCCATCCCGCAAGGAATCATGTGGGCAACTGGAGTCTTACCATTCTTCAAAACCATTTCTTTAACTGAAGATGTTGAAGAACTGAAATTAAAAAAAAAAACTTAAATATACAATTCAGATGTTACACAAAATTTTAAGAAGTATATTTCACTTTACTACATCTCAGAATAGAGGAGCAGAAACAGTCTGCCAAAATCAGTCATTTTTTTAATAGTGAATTTCCCATTTAAAAAGTAATATGTCTCTCCCCTGTTGTCTCTGCATTTAACAGAGAGAAAGTAATATATGTTCTTCAAAGAAAATATGAAAAATACAGAAAAATTTTAGAAAGAAAAATTATTTTATTTATTTATTTTATTTTATTTTATTTTATTTGAGATGGAGTCTCACTCTGTCACCCAGAGTGCAGTGGCATAATCTGGGCTCCCTGCAACCTTTGCCTCCTGGGTTCAAGCGACTCCCCTGCCTGAGCCGCCCAAGTAGCTGGGATTACAGGCATGTACCACCACACCCGACTAATTCTTGTATTTTTAGTAGAGACAGGGTTCCACCATGTTGGCCAGGCTGGTCTTGAACTCCTGACCTCAAGTGATCTGCCCACCTCGACCTCCCAAAGTGCTGAAATTACAGGCATGAGCCACCATGTCCAGCCATAAAAATTATTTTAAATCAACCCTGATTCTTATTCATATATTATGAGGGGCCTACTACGTGCCAAGCAGTGTGCTGCACGCTAAGGTTTAACCAATAACAAATATAAAGAAACAAAGTAATAAAGCATATAAAACATTTTACAGTGAAATTTTATACTACATTGTTAACATATCAAAGCCAAAACATCCAATCTTTCAAAAAAAAGACAGACCCAATTACCAAAAAGTTATACTGGAAACTTATGAGCATATAAATTATGATATATATCCGTGTGTGTGTGTGTGTATGTCTGTGTATGCATCCTCCCTATATGTATACAAACACAAACACACACACACACCCCACATATGTACATAACTTACTTTTTATAAAATTTATAAAATAAAATTTTTGTGGACATACTGTTTTAGAGCTTGCAATTTTTTCCTTAAAACTATATCACAAATATTTTCCATGTAATTACGTATTTTTGACACATTTTAATGTCAAATGGTAGTATATCATAAAAATGTATCATAATGTATCTAACCAAATTTTCACTCTTAAGTATTTAACTTTTTTTCAATTTTATTAGCATTATAACAGTACTGCATTGAACATTACTATGGGTTGTTTGTTCACACCCAAGAGAAATTCCTTAAGATAAATTCCTTGAAATGAAATTTCTAAATTAGAAGATATACACATTTTTTATCACAGGATATTTCAGACATACACAAATATAAACAGAAAAATATAATAAGCCCCCATATACCTGGACCCATCATTCAGCTTTGGTAATTATCAGGTTATAACCAATCTTGTTTCACCTACAAGCTTACTCTCTTCTCCCCTGTGATATTAGTTTGCAGAAATTATCAAAAATTACATTGTTTCAGTATATATCCCTAAAAGGTAAAAACTTTTTAAAATAACAGCGCAATTGCATCTAGAAAATATTGATAATTATTTAACATAAAGTCAGTGTTTAAATCTCCAGTTTTGTCATAAATATCCTAAAGATTTAACAGTTTGTTTACTGCATATTTTATAAGTTTTACCTATAATATATGAGAATGTAAATCAAATTCTATACTTAACAATTCCTAAGGTCTCTATATATCACTATCACATAAACTCAACATTTTTATAATTAGGGAAAGATATATATTACAGGATATGTATGCTAAACATAATCGTAACTGAAGAGTTACTAAATCTATATCACAGTAAAGTGTTTTAGAATTAATTATACGGAACCAATTACAAATTAAATGCACCATTCTCTTTGCAATATGATCCCTATTATCTAATGAGACTTTCTGAAGATGACAAATTGGTGACTATGATGTCTACTAGTTGCTATTAATAAATTTACACATACATGTAATTTATTAATTTTCATCAACATTATTAAGGGATATAATTTATGTACAGTAAATTGCATTCATGTAATTTTTTTTTTTTTTTTTTTTTTGAGACAGAGTTTTGCTCTTGTTACCCAGGCTGGAGTGCAATGGCGCGATCTCGGCTCACCGCAACCTCCGCCTCCTGGGTTCAGGCAATTCTCCTGCCTCAGCCTTCCGAGTAGCTGGGATTACAGGCGTGCGCCACCATGCCCAGCTAATTTTTGCATTTTTAGTAGAGACGGGGTTTCACCATGTTGACCAGGATGGTCTCGATCTCTTGACCTCGTGATCCACCCGCCTCGGCCTCCCAAAGTGCTGGGATTACAGGCGTGAGCCACCGCACCCAGCCTGCATTCATGTAAATTATACAATTCTACGAGTTTTGGCACAGGCACATACCCACGACACCAGCGCCACAACCATACAGAATATTTATATCACCCAAAAAAGTTTCCCTATGCATTTTTGCAGCTAAGAATTGTTCCCTCCATCCTAAACCCCAGGTAACCACAAACTTGCTTCTGCCACTTTAGGTTAGTTAGCATTTTCTACAATTGCGTATAAATGGTATCCCTCATATTCCTTAGCATTTGGCTTCTTACAGTCTTATTGTAATGACTTTGAAATTCATATATATTGTACATATGTCAGGAGTTCATTCTGTTTTAGTGTTAAGAAATATTTTATTGTATGGATAATATTTTATCTGCCTATGGCACATTTGTCAGTATTTGGGGTGATTCTGGTTTGGAGCTACTACAAATAAAGATTTAAGAACATTAATGTATAGGAGTTTGTGTGAATACATTTTTGTTTCTCTTGAACAAATACCCAGAAATAATGTCCAAGTCACATAATAGAAGTGAGTAACTTTTTTAGAAAACTGCCGATTAATTTTGGCCTTCTTGCTAACATTTGGTATCACCAATCTATTTAATTTTAACCATTCCAATGGATGTGGGTTGCTATCTGTTTGATTTCAGTAGCCATTTCCCTGGTGATTAATAATGTTGAGCATCTTTTCTTATGCCTATTGAGCATTCATATAGTTTCTTTTGTGAAGTGTGCCTAAATCTTTTGCTCATTTTAAAAATTAAATTCTTTGACCTCTATAAGTGCTCTTTATATGACACAGGATGCAAGTCCTGTGTCAGAGATACATACTGAAAATATTTTCTTGCATTCTGTCTTCCTTTTTTATTTTTTTAATGGTGATGTTCAAAGCACAAAAGTCCTAATTTTCATAAAGTCTAATGCATTCTTTTTCTCTGTTATAACCTATGTTTTCTGTTTCTAAAAGAAATATTTGCCTAACAAGGTCACCAAGATTTTCTCTTGTGTGTCTCTTAGAAGTTTTTAAATTTTAACTTTTACACTTGGGTCTGTGATCCATTTTGAGTAGATTTGTGAGCTACGGTTTTTGTAACATTTTAGAGCTAAGAAAATGTCCTATTAAGCTCCCAGAAGTGAAAAACAAGAATCATGCAAGGATTCAGCCAATGCATCTCTCCCACCCCTTCACAGAAGCTAATGCGAGCAGGACAAAAGGTAACAAAGAAAAAGCACAGGCTCTCATAAACAGGGAATCTCACTAAAGGAGTGGTGAAGAGAAACCTAGGACTAACCAACGTACATGAGACACAGAATCAATCCAGACTGGAGTGAGAGGACAGCAAAAGGAAAGACCTACAGAGAGATGTCTAAATGAAAGGGGAATTTAAGAGACCACTGCATGTTAGAGGAAAGAACATGTGAAAAGAATTAAGACTACGCATGTTTTAAAATTGCAGCTACAAAAAGACCATTTTTAACTCAAGGGAAACAGAAAGGTTGTCACAAAAAAAAAAGAAACAAAATTACAGTCTACTGACTGGCTTGTCTGTGAACAATACACATGGTTATATTGATGCAAACACAGATGAACTGAAACTAGTAATGTATCTTATACTGGGGGTGGAGGCATGAAGGAAAGACGGATGAGGACATTGTTGGAGACAGAAACTTTGTCAATAATAACAGGAACTTTTCATAAAATCTAACATGTATAGCCGGGCGCGGTGGCTCACGCCTGTAATCCCAGCACTTTGGGAGGCCGAGGCGGGTGAATCACGAGGTCAAGAGATCGAGACCATCCTGGTCAACATGGTGAAACCCCGTCTCTAGAAAAAATACAAAAATTAGCTGGGCATGGTGGCCCGTGCCTGTAATCCCAGCTACTCAGGAGGCTGAGGCAGGAGAATTGCCTGAACCCAGGAGGCGGAAGTTGCGGTGAGCCGAGATCGCGCCATTGCACTCCAGCCTGGGTAACAAAAGCGAAACTACGTCTCAAAAAAAAAAAAAAAAAAAAATCTAACATGTATAAATGGAGAAATCATCTATGTATATTATTTGGATATTGTGGTGGTATGGTGAATTGTACAATGTTACCAAGTCTTTGTTTCCTTCTCCAGGACAGGATTTTGCATCCCCCTAGGCCATATGACTTGCAGTGACTCCCTGAGGGTGGAGAATTCTTCCTGCCCCATTGGGCTTAGCTACTACATGGACAGGAGACAGGAAAACACTGGGTAGAAGATGGGGGCTACCTGGCTAGGACTCCACCCTTAAGTCTGGAAACCCACTGCCCTAAATGGGAACAGGCATTCTTGTTTCTGTGCCCAAATGTTGCCTTTTGGCCCGCCATGGCCCCCTATCCTGTACCCATATAAACCCCAAACCCCAGGCTCCACAAGCAGATGAACAGGTGAACAGAAGAGCAGCAGAATGATGTGACAGAGGAAAGGTGAGAAGGAGCGTCTAAACATGAAGAAAAGTTTGGCTGGGGACAGTCACAGAGGAGAGGAGATCAGCTGCTGGAGAGCCAAACTCGAGGGGAAGATCATCTTCCCACTCCATTCCCCTTCCAGCTCCCCAACTATGCCACTGAGAACCACCTCCACCACTCAATATAACCCCCATGTTCACCATCCTTCAAGCCCTTTTTGGGCTCGAAGCTGGACGCCAAACAAGGATCATTCTTCCTGGATGCCAAACAGGGAG